GCCGCGATAATGACGTCGACTTACTCGATCCGGCGACACGAGTGGCGTAATTGAAAAGGAATCAGCGTCCACGAGATGACCGTGTAAATACGCCTCCTTTGCGTCCGTTCGTCGCGTACCGTTGGACTGGACACGGCAGATTGCGCGCGGGACGCGCACGGGGAAAGTCTTACGCAATTAAGATCGAGCGGATGGATAGAGTCGTGATTCGAGAGTGCGACGGCGCCCAAGTAGTGGTATTACTCGGTGATTAGTGACGGTTGTTACCGGGTGATTTAACGTTTCTTTCGCGCTACGGCCGGCATCGGCCGCGAGCCTCTCTCGAAGCGCAGGTGATTTATCGCACGTTGGCAAAAGTGCGAAACAGCCGACCGATAATGCGTGAAAATAATAAGAGGATTATGGGCAGTAATGGTGTCGTAAGGAGGCGATTAAAAAGCGTAGTTCATAGCCGCGGCGCTTCGGGGGGGGGGGGGGAATCGCGCAATTAAGGCTGAACTAATGATTCGGTAGGTGGTGCGGGTTAAGTGGAATTATCTGGTGATTAGCGACGGTTATTACGGGTGATTTAGTCCTCATCTTTATTTGAATAGATGAATCGTCACGTTAAACGCGTATTACGCGTTTAATCAGCCGGAATAGAGTACGTAAATAAAGAACTCTCCCTCTATCTCTCTCTCACTGAATATAAATACATAAAACAGATTTCTATTTGTTTAAGTTGAAGTATTTGCACGAGTTAAAGCTGTATGGTACGAGCGAGAGTGTTTGTTACATCGGCGAATGAAAGGAGATTGCGATTCGTCGAGTTCGCGGTGAGTGAAAGAAAATAATTCGTCTTGTGCCTCGAGACGGGGCACTTACGCAATTAAGACCGTGATTTGAATGTGTGTACAGCCAGGCGCTATTGCCGCTTGTAAAAGGACCGTAACTGGCCGATTAGGGTTGTATAAAGGATAATTCAATTTCTCTGATTAAACACCTCGCGGAAGTAACGGCGTTAACGCTCGGTCAACAGCGGTTTATCGCGCAGAAGAATAACTTAAGGTGGGGGCGAAGACGTTCGTACTTACGATCAGTAAAAGCTCCGCGGCTTCTTTGCTTTCTTTATTATTATTCTTTTTTGGTAAGCATCGCAGGGCGCTCGACATTGAATTACATTTGCATCTCTAATGAAATATGTATACGCGTACCTGTTTTAAAGGCGTACTAGAAATAAACACGTGGAGAAGCGGCGGCATAATTCCCGGGGCAACCGCATGGCGGAACAGCGCGGTTAGTAACGATCGGCAAAGCTCGTTACCGGTGTTTAACTATCATTTAGGCAGGATTAAAGATAATCCAGTCGGTGTCGTTGGAGATATAGCAAAAGCGCGAGCTACCACTTACGGTCGTCGCGCTAACTCCCGATTAAGGTCGATTTATTATCCGGCGGATGGTCCCACCTGAAGGGGAAACGCGAACGGAGGTAGGGGAAGGCGGGCTAAATATACCCTGCCGATAGGCTTATCGTGGGTAACCGTCACAACTCCCGGAAATAAAGACTCGAAGAATGAGGTTCGCGAATAGTGGCCCGTTTATCCGTTTTCAAATTAGACAGAGCGAAATAGAAGCCAAGCTTTCGCTCGCGAAATGACATTTCTACCGAAGTGAGCAGGAGCCAGTCCTTGAATCATTGAGTACGCCTCTGCGGAAAATGGGGTTTGCGACTTTAAAGGCGAGGTTTATCACCGTTGGGGAGAGAGAGAGAAAGAGAGAGAGAGAGGAGACCGTAAAATAATATCACGGGGTGCCGACGCATGCCCCGGGTGCGCAATTTGTCAAACCCGATGCACGGGGGGTGCGGACTGCACGCGAAGGAGCCGCTCCGCGATATCCTGGATATTCCTCGGAGGCGGCGGCGGCGGCTACGTACGCCGCATTAAATAATCATCCGTGTAAACAGAGCGGAGTTATCGCTCCGCGATGCACGGTACTCGGCTACAATAGAGGAATTTCCCCGCCTCGCTGCACGAGCCTCGTATTAACGCGTGTGTTGAATCACGTGCGTACGCGCGCATACCACGTGCGTGTGGCCGAGTCCCCCGATAAATAACGTCCCCCCGTGGAGCGCGGCGCGGGTTAAGCCGCTCTAAAAAATATGCCAGCACCTACGGCCTCGGCCCAGCCTCGGGCCGGCACCGAGGAGGGACTTTGTCGGCCGACGGCGATAATGTCGGAGGTGGTAGACTATGGGTAAGGTCAAAGGCGAGCTCGAGAGAACTCCCCTTACCTGAAGGTTCAAAGGAGGAGGTCGCGCATTGTTAGTAGCGACTTGTAAGGGGAGAGCGAGAACCTGGTGCCCAAGTCGCGTCGCCGGCACGGTGAATTATCCCATATCGACATTACGGTTCATTGTAATCGGCCGCGGGGCTATCGATTTTTCATTTATAACCCTGGAGGAGAGAAAAGGGGCTTCCTGCACGACATCGCCGAAGGCCAAAGCCGCGTATTTTTAGCTGCCGCGCGCGCTCGGGAAGCGTAAAATTTGCGGAAAGGCAAAAATACGCTCGCCCACGCGGCAAAATAAAAATAGCGTCACGCTACCGATTAAATTATTATTATCCGTAAATTATCATTGTCGCGGAAATAAAATGAGAATGACGATATTTATATCGTCGGGACACTGTGCCGCAGACCTGTCTTCGAGCCGGAATAATATTACTGCGATCGAGAATTCGAGATACGTTATCGGTGGGAGATGGATCATTTTTCCGAGTACGGAGCGGGAAGGGGGGGGGGGGTTGGTCCGCTTTGAGCAATTTTTAAATTACTCGCATAATCTCCACCTCCTATCAGTCTCCTTTTCCCGCTGGTCACGTAACTAACTGGCTTCCAACAAAGACTGCACCGCCCCGAGCAATAATGTTGAAGCCGCTCAGCTAAGTCAAAGGAATGTTCGAACCCGTAGGTGAAGAGCGAGCGGCTCGACTTCGAGCAGCGTGCTCGAGCTACTTCGACCAAGTTGTTCTCGAGAGTTCCAAAGAATGATGTTAACAATGAACAGCATAAATAAATTCTTCACAAGTCTCAAAGAGCCCGCGATCATTTGACCCTGGCAAATAATCGTTAAACGAGATGAAGGGATACCGTCGATAAATAGATCTGCGTAACCGGCGTAAAGTGCTCTGGGATAAACCAGACAGCTAGCAGGCCATGTTGGGGCCCACAATTAGCAATCGAATTATTTGGATTGTTCGTAACTCTTATCTTTTACGAATTTCACCCCGCGTAACTAAAAATAGGAATTAGCCATTCTATCTATAGCCAAGATTTTTAAGTAATTACTAATCAATTCTCTCAATTAGTTCTATCGGTATTCAGTAACGCAAATACAAAAGAAAACCGGTCAAAAATTGTACCAGAGTAGAGTTACGAACAATCCAAATAATTCGATTACTAATTACGGGCCCCAAAATGGGTTGCTGTCTTCTTTTCTCCCAGAGTAAGGATTTCAGAGAAACGCACAAAATTCCATCGGTCACAAAAGTCTTAGACGGCTAATTGAACCCGTTCCCCGTTCACCTGTTTGTCATAAACAGAATCGCGATTTCAAAGGAGGGGGTTAATTAAACTACAATTAGAGCTAACTGACGTTGGTGTGAAACCGCTCATTAGTTAATACAAACTTTGTTCAATAACTTTACATACCCAGCTACCGTACGAGTTATTTTCATTACATCGTACGCACGCAGCTTCTCTCTGTGGCCAATTCAGTTTAAGTATTGCTCTGTGTAGATATATATCTATACTCCCCCCCCCCCCACTCTCTATAATCCACAGATTCCGTATCTATACTAGTTTCTGATATCTGGTCCATTCTATTTCAGAAGCCTTATGGCTTATAGGTACGCTCTGTATGGGATGCGATCGAAATTGCGATACAACCGAGAAAGAAACAGAGGAAACTTGTTCCATCTTATTTCTTATCTTATTTCTTATTTATTTTTACACGAGGCATCTCCTCTTCCCTCCCGACTGTGCGGAATTTCGGGTCTCCCTTTACCCTCTCTGTATATAATTGTAAAAGAGTCTCCCTAACGTGAAACGTTTTGTGCATCAATTTGAAATTTCACTCGTCTTATCTCCGCTTATAAACCGGCCATAAACGAGACGTATCGTCAACATGGTTGCGGCATGACTTTCGATAACCGACGAAAGCGTTGAACGTGATATCGATTGCAAACAGCAGTCCGTGATGTATGGCGACATTGCGGACGATCGCGCGCATAAAAGCGCATCTAGTATCCCGGATAAGAGGTACTTTTAAGAGCGATACCTCGTCCGTGTCCGATACCCGATTCTGATATCCACTCCGTCGCTTTTTCATCCTCGTGCGCCGTTCCCGCGACTATCTCGCGCTCGCTCGCAAACCGGGAAATTAGTCGGATGACGCCATCACGCTGATAGATGATTCTCCCTAGATCGATAAGCCGCGATCGAGAAACATCCGCGCGATTCTGCCCGCGATCTCTTTGAGCGATAATAAAAGCCAGAGTTGACAAACTCGTTATTTCCCATCGCTCTAACGGGGAACGTCGCGGGATGAGAGCAAAGCGAGCCACGTAATTTATTTGCCATTTATCACGTAATGAATTAAGACCACCGGGGGGACTGACGGGATTATTACTGTAATCGATCTGACTATATTACTTCGCGTCAAACTCTCCCGCAACACTTGCGCCATGTGGATTTCTCGAGGTCGATTAGTGTAATTCGGACGGGGCGATGATTAATGAATAATCATAATTAATCCTACGTATAGTACGTTAAGTGCTGTATATAAAACTGAATACTGAAACGGAACGAATTAACGCGATCCAATTGGGCGAGTTTAATTAACAGCGCGTGATAAATAAGCAAGCACTTTCCGTATGTCTGGCGTCAACGTATCGGCAAGGCTGATGTTTGCCGTAGGAATTATTTCGAGCGTCGTGCGCTGATATACGACTAAGGCTCACCACGAGGAGGACACATCGATTTTCAGAAGTTACGCCGCCGCATCCGAGCCAGCTACCGATGACGGCCAGCACACCTGCGACGATCAGGGCGTAGGCCAAAGTGGGATACGTCGACGTGGACATCAGGGACACGTAGCTGTGCTTCGCCGCCACCGTCCAGATACCGATGCCACCCACAACCAGTCCGGACAACTGCAACGCATAAAGAAGTCTTCCATTTATTTCATTTCATTAGTGGGCAAAACTTGGCGAAACGCATCCACCGCCGACGCCTACGCGCAGGAGGGTAACCACTAGCTAAAATGTTGTTCAAGACACCACGATTACACGACGATTTCGTAAGGATTTCATAATGAATTCGGAGACACTGTCCCACGATTACATCAAGTGGTTACCACCCCGTTGCCTACGTGCCGCCTGTTGACGCACTCTCGGTAGTAAAGCCACAGTACAACTAGTATGTTCACTCTCCGTCGGCCCTTTGATCTTTCGGTCCCGATCACGTGATATTCCGCTATTATTTTCATCAGGATCCAGCACAGGCTGCTATACACTACTGGACTGCTACGCATACTACTTTATTTACCTAACAAGACATGGCGGAACTCTTGCCTCACTTTTCAGCTCGAAGGTAGCAGCCTAGTGGCATATATAGAAGTCTGTAGGATCCAGCGGCGTATGTGTGCACGTACAGTCATGGGCAGAATGGTTGCGACACTTTCTTTTCTAATGAGTTTAGATCGAGGGTTGATTACGTTTCAAAATCTTCTCCGAGGAATATTTTACTCGACGGCCATTCCGAAATCATTTCGAGCGTTTCCGATCTATTTCTCGAGTTCCCAAACTCGTTAAAAACAAAAAGTGTTGCAACCATTCTGTCCATCGCTGTACTCCTGAAAGCTACACTACCGTGCACACAGTTTTCCCCTCATTTTCCCTCATTGGCCAAAATAATGACGGCGTCGCGGAAGGCGTCGACGCAAAACCGAGCACAGACGGAGGGAACGTACTAGTTTTACTACGGTAAAGAGCATTTCCCGATAATGCGAGTGAGATTTCTCTCGGTATGAAGATTTTTATCGTCGCCGGTGGAAGAGGCCGAATTGACTTCTCCCGTGTCCCAACTTTGCCTCTTCTAGCAGCATCCCCCGCCCCCCCTCGCCCCGCAAAAATGAATTCTCTAGACGGGACGAGTTCTTTAGGAGTTGACGAAGCGAGGTCAAGTCTCATTGGTGTCTCTCTCGAATTCCTCGAGGAGGAACCCGAGACTGATTATGCGCCCCCCTGCTGTCCCGGTTGTCGCCGGCGTCTTCGAAAATCTCCGGCGATAATCGATACCACCGCTCGCGGGAGGAACGTAGTAACGGGAAGTCCTCGCTCACGTCCGCGGAGAACTTCCGATGGGATCGGCCCACGGACAGTGCGTTTCATTCAATTTCATATCGCGCGCCGCGGGCGCAAAGTCGCTCCGATGACTGCTCGGATATCGTCGCCGCCCACGACAGCCGGTACGAGAGCGAGAGGGAATGAATAACGGATATCGGCCCGATAACTACACGCGCCAGTGCGCGTAGGCATCGCGTATACAGGGTGTCCGTTAATTGGAACGCGCCGCGAGCGGAAGATAAAACGCTCGCCACTTGTCGCCGAGCGGTATTCCCGGCGATAAATTTTAATTCGAGACCCCGAGGAATGAGGGACAGTGTAAAAATCACTCTGAAGTTCACCGTCGCCCTCGGCCTCGCTCTGAATCTGAGGGGGGGGAAGGGGAAGGGGGAGAGTTAAAAGGATTTAAACTATCTCGAGATAATTCGTCGGAGATAACTGTCTTTAATTTCCTCCAGAAGCGCTCTTCGAGAGAAGGTGTTACACTTTCGGAGTTGGTTTCCGTCCGTTTCTCTTTTCCGTAAGAGCTCTCGCGACTTTTTTTTTCTTCTTCTCTACAACGTCCCGCGTTTCACGCGCGTGACGGAAGCGTCGTCGTCAAAACGTCACGCATCGCGTCCCGATCGAGCGGCGCTCGATTTATCCCGCGGTCCTTTTTTGCCTCTCCCGCCGGACATCGTTTTTCTTCTTGCGGCGCGATATTTTTTCTCCCTCCCCCGCTCGCCCCCATTGACACGGTGTGCAGGGGGGCACGCACGACGGGGCGAGAGACCGTGCCCCGCGGGAGAACGGTCGGAGGTACTCCGGAATATACGAGCCACGCCGACGTAAATATCGGCCGACACGCGCGATATTTACGATATCGCGGGAATGCGGTTCACGTAGGTCACCGTAACACCGTTCCCGAGAACAATGACCAAGTTATGAGCGTCCGGCGTTCTCCAAATGACGCAAATGCGCGATTTTACAGCCGTGCGTCATGCGACAGTCGGTGCGACCGGGGAGAAAAATTGCGATTTCGGAAATGAGATTCCGATGGTGAACAGGGAGGAACTGTTACCGGAAGACGGCGATTAATACTCGAACCCTACCTGATTAAAGCTCTTCGATTCTTCGATTGTCGATTTGTGTTCCAAGAGGCTGTTAATCGGAGCAACTTGGATTGATAATTGATATTGAAACCGCTTAATTGACAGAAGTGTATTATTGCGTGTAATACCAGCGACGATTATTATCCAGCACCCGGATATTACGGAATCAATGCACGAACGTTTGCCAATTGCTGCATAATAATCGATAATGCGTCGACTGCTATTGGTTTTAGCCCCGGTAGCCGTGACTAGAAAATCTTCGTAGGTCCCATTTACACTTATCACACTCCAATAAATATCGAGCGAATCCGCTCGGATATTATTTCCATCCGCAACACTCCGAATAAATTTTCCAATTTCGAATAAGATACACCGGTCGTTCTACATCTCGCCGCTTCCGGCTATCATACGATGCGCCTTCCCTTTGGTGAAGATTACGGCAGAGCGCGAGACTGTTGTTGCAAATAAATTGATAATATATGTAAAATATGAGAATGTCGAAGGCTATGCGATATTTACGATATTGAGGAATTCGACTCATCGCTGTTTGGGAGCGAAGCTCAAATTACCGGCCCGGAATTCGCGGTGCAAACGTGCGAATAATGTTGCGACAATGTATTATGTACAATTTGCTTTAGCCCAGTTTTCTGCCGAGGCACGAAAGTATCGTAATTTTGTTCGTAGCTTCCGGGGAATGCTGCAATGTCAATCCGTAACGTATCGATGGCGTATAATTGCAGCGTTACAAATAATTGTTCAATCGGGTGAATTTACGATATATTACGCGATGGATTTACGATGGTGCGGTATTATAACGCTCGAGAACATTGGTCGCGAAAAAAAGAATAGTAGATGTTTGGTTTGGTATGGTTAATTTGCACTCATTCAGTTTTTAATAAAGTGCCGACTCGCACCCACACACTGAAAAAAATTTCTGGTTGAATATGGACGAATCAGATAATTCCTTTAGGATTTACCAGAATTCCTTTAGGATTTACCAGAATTTCTGTAGGATTACAGGAATTCTGGTAAATCCTAAAGGAATTCTGGTAAATCCTAAAGGAATTATCTGATTCGTCCATATTCAACCAGAAATTTTTTTCAGTGCAGAAAACACTTCCGGATCCAATGCCATTACACTTCGATGTATCGTAAAATAGGATCGATGTAGCGCCAATTGCATTTACTATAGAGAAAGGGATATTTTAATCTTAAATAAAAAATTCTAAAATCTAGAATAAAATGATAGTACGTATTGTCTTTCGTCGAATATCGCGGTGCCAACTTGGTGCGTTGTAAGGTGGAGGGACAATTTATTCTAAACGCAAGAATATATTAACTTACATTTATACACGTTACTCTTGTCTCAATATAGTAAGTCAATCTTTTTTAATTCGATAGAGGAGAATAAGAATGATTGATTTTATTTTGATACCAAATGAGGGTGCGAGAAATATAAATGCGTCAAGAATATTTTTTGTCTCGGTAACAGAAATCCTTTCTGAGGGTGCGATGAAATTTGATTGAAAAACCGATCATATTTTTCATCGGGTATACAATTTAATCGGATATATCAGTTTGTTATTATGTAATTGGATTATCCGATTATATTCAATCATTTCAGTTACATTCATGTATTCTCTGACAACTGCAACGTTTTCCCTTACCACGTCTCGTTAACCTTCAGTGGGTGCACTTAATTTACTTGTTCGTCAGTTTTTCTAATTCCATTTTTATCCTTCAATCTCGCAGCATCCAAAATGATTGTATCAATTCAGATTTTTTCGTCTGTCAATCTCGAAGCATTTACTTTTGGTTAGCGGAACACGGTAGAGATTCGCAGAGATCGCTAAAGCGATCAAACTTGAGCCGAAACGTCTATACGGACATGTAATTGAAATTTGTATTCAACTCTTTCGCACGTAACACAACGAGAACCGTGTGTACACCTACTCTCACTGTCCAACCTCGTTGGATATTATATTACTGCTAAACGTTTATCGAGAGAGAGAGAGAGAGAGAGAGAGAGAGAGAGAGAGAGAGAGAGAGAGAGAGAAAATCGGCGTGCAGTTTTGAGTTTGAAAAAAGTACACACAGAAAAAAATAAATGTAAAATCGAAACTTATATACTTAAGTTAACGTGCTCATTGTTTCGTACATACGCAGCAATCTATAATCTTCTTAGAAGTATCTAACAGTTTTAAATTGCAACAATATTAGAGTCTTATTTAAATACTGTACTCTACATACCTTTACTCTTTACTATAATCTTCCATTTAAAAATATGTTATTTTCTATCCAACATATCGTTTCCTTTCCATTCAAGAAAATTATTTTTAAAGAAGAAGAATATATTTCTCTTGATTGAGCTATACAAAATGGATTTATTCACGCAAGGTTTCTTCGTTAAGTGCAATAAAATCTCATTTCGAGATTTCCACGTTGAAAGCAAAGGGTCTGAGCAGAATGGCTGTCTTATACTCTTAAGACAGCCTTAAGACAATGTTTCATGTTTTAAGCCTTTGTGGTAACGCACAATAACTGTCTTACGTCTTAAGAGTACAAGACAGCCATTCTGCTCAGGCCCAAAGATATTTTCAAACCAAGACTGTTCTCTTTTCTGTATATATACAAAATTCACATGAAATTATTCCGACGGATAAATGGCATATTCGTATTCGATTATTATTAAACGCGTGCAATTTCGTCGCGAGA